CTACAAGCATGCATTGTGTGAGGGATTGCTTCGAGTCAATGAGTTGATGCAATGTGCTGGCGAAGATTCTTTGTCATCCAGGTCATAATCATTCCAAGTTAAAAGGCAATCCGCTTTCCAAGTTTGAAGATGTTTTGCTTCCTGTCCAGGAAGATTTTTCAATTCAAAATGTCAGAAATAGTGTTGAGTTTGAGGCTCTATAGATTGGACCAAAAACAAAGCCTTGTTTTGGCTTAGAAAACATGCAAATTGAACCAGACGAACCGGTCCACCCCTTCGCAATAGGCAGTAATTTGGGTTCTTTGTTAGCCTGCAATACCTGAAACTGGTCTAAGTCTCCGACAGGAAGGTAGTTTGGGGGAATTGTTGGCCTGGCTGAACAGGCGAAATATTCTGGTCCCCTGTATGGGGGTGGGGGTTGCGATGATAGCAGGAAGGAATTAATTCTATTGCTGTTTTGTAGGTTTTTGAAAGATGAAAGCTGAGTCTACTTTCTCTGTTTAAGGTTGGGGTTTTTTTCTTGACATAGATGGCTTCTTTCACGCCCCTCTAAAACCATCTGTCTTCTTTGTTTAAAATGTGAACATTCTGGTCCTGAAAAGAATGTTCTTTGTCGATAAGGTGTGGATGTAATGCAGAGTCTTTCTGACGGAGGTAGCTCTTCTGTGTTGGGCCATGCCTCTGTGGAGAGGTTGTTTGTTTTGTCCAATATAAAGATCAGTGCATTCCTGCATTGAACTGCATACACCACTCTGCTCATATTTTGTCTGTTTTATTTTTTTTTCTTTAGTGCATCCCAACAGAATAACTTTATCACCGAAGCTAATATGGTGCCCTATACATCAACAGGAGTCCTACTTAACCCGAAAAAACAGTCAAGAGTAATAAACATTTCCTTTAGAATAATAATTATTAGTAATAATATCTATTAATAGTGCAACGCAATATGAGAATAAGAATAATCATAAATTTATTTTTATTATAATTGCCAAAGTTAGACAGAGCTATGGATCTGTTAAGTGGCCCATTTCCCCAGCTCTGAGCAGCAATGACCTTATGGGATAACTTTATGAATAAGATTTATTGTTTTAAAAATAAGATAATTGGCACACCTCTAAAAATGATTCAATCATCCCTGGAGAGTCAAGCTGCATTGGAGTCTGTATTGAACATAAACAGTTTTAGACTGTAATGGATTTTTGCTCTTTGTACCACAATGCCACTATACCAGTAGGACCAGCAAAAATGAGATTTAAAGGGAAATATAAGAATTAACTTTATAAAAAATGATATTGACTACCATTCACTTTTAATTCTTTTCTATTGCGTAACCCAGACTCTAACAATAAGGTAGTATTAAAGTGTAAACTAAGACACGAAACACATTTACAAGTCCCAAAGAAAACTCAATTAAAATCTAAATCCTTAATTAATATAAACCCTGACTTAGGACCAAAATAAAAAAAGAGTTTCCTAAAGTGACCACACTGAAATACAGAAAAAAAAAAAAATCTCTGTCAGCATTGAGTATCTGCAGAGACACAAAACCCTACACACACACACACCAACAGACAGCTAAGCAGTTTGGAAGGTTTATCTTACAAGTATTCCATTGTCTCATACCCTTAAGCTATTTCCTGCAACCTGCATGGTGGAATATCCTAAAAGTATGTATATTTAATGTGTCATGTTTTCTTTCTGGTTTTTTGTGACTCCTCCCTTTGAGCTTATAAAGGGAAACAGAGTGAACAGGTGTCACATCTTTTTTGGAGGCTGTAGAAGGCATCAGATTTACTCCACCTGCAAATCATATCTGGAAACAAAACTATAAGAGATTTTAAATCTAAGGAACAACCATTTAGACTGAGAATAAGAAGATTCAAAGGTAGGAACTGAAACAACTGTTCTTCATTGCAAAATACTTTATGTTACATTGTTTCACTAGTGTTAAAGAATTTAAATTATAGTTCTTTTTTTTACTTTATCAAATTGAAAAGGTTAACACAGGTTACCACAGGTTCTAATTTAAATGAATTACATTGTATCATTTGGATATCCTTCCACAAGCTTCTAACAATAGTATGCTAAAACTTTAGCCACTTTTTCAGGCAGAACCGCTATGAATGATTCAGGTTTATAAGCATCTTTATCTACCTCTTATCACCAGAAATTTCCTAGAAAGGAATTTGTGGACTTGTTTATAGAGCAAATTCCTGCATGTTCAACCAATGACCAGTTAAAGAAGCAAGAAGAAATGTTTTTTAAGGGTGATTTACTGAGGTTAACAATCTTAAACATAAACAAGTAATGAAAAATCATCTTTAGTAAATAAAATACATAAATGTATGTAGAAATGTTAAAACAGTAGACAGGAAAACAATAAGCATAACTTTTAACTCCGTTTATGGAAGATCGTGCCATTGATTTAATTACAGAAACATTTTAAAGAATAACGTTTTTTTTTTTTTTTTGTCAGACTTCTTTCTTTAATAGTAGGAGCAGTTTGGAAGTAGCATTGAAAGAAGAAACAGAACCAACAGGAATATGAAACTATGATTAGGAAATGTGCAAGATAACAGACAGCAAAACAGGCAGCATTACTGGAGGATCCTATGATGAATAATGAGAACAAGTTACTGTAGCTTAAACCCGTAGGCAGGGTGCGAGAAGGAGTAAAACAGAGAAGCTAATCTGAAGAAATGCGAAGCAGCTAAAGCAAAATAAAGGCAAGGCAGGTGCTGGATTACATCTATTTACCAGAGAGGAAGCTAGATACACATAAACTAGGATACTAAACAGGAGAACACAAGCTAATGTGGCAAGACTCTCATGGCAATAACTGCAGAATATGAAAAGACATCAATTATAGATAAGCAGTAATAAAATTCTTGTAATAATCATATTTTGTCTGCTTTTTTAACATTGTATTTTACAAAGATGTCTGACAAGTAACTGTGTGTTTGAGTTTTGAATAATATACAAATCCACAGAATAGCTTCTGGTAAATTCAAAACTGCTAAATTTCCCCATATGAACACCTGAACATCATCATTTCATTGACTGTCTGTTTATTTCTTAAAACTTTTTATTTGCTTACGGTGTGTTAATGCCTGACTTTAAAATGTAATCCTTTTATTAGAGTTCGGCAAAGTCTTTGACTCCATATTATCAGCTGGGTTCAGTTAGATAAAGCACTTTTAACCTCTCTGTATGATCTAATTTAACTGACTCTTTTGGTAAAGTACCTTGAGATGACGTATTTTTAATTGGTGACATATGAATAAACTGAAATAAACAAACTGAATTATACAAAGGATATAGAGAATGAAATAAATTAAGTAATTCTAAATGATAACAGGAATTGCTTAAGTCTCATTAAATCTCAGAGAATAAGGTTTTCAAGAGTGTATGCCAAAAACATTTGTTTTTATAATTTTTTTTATGTATAGTATTATTTTGGCTCCTCAATATGAGTTCTCTAATTTCACCATAAATAAGTCTTTTAAAAGATGTTTAAGATTTCATAATAATATTTACGTTGCAGGTTAGTATGCCAGACAACTTGCAAACAATGTTTCCTATTTTATTTACTTTATAATTATTTCAGATTATTGAAATGTTCTTTACTACACAGGGAGACATATTATTTCAAACTAAATGAACATTAAATGTTCAATATATTTTAGGAGAAATTAAAAAATTTGACACTTTTACATACATCTTACATCAACGCCTATCTAAACAACATCTAACTATCTAACAAACTGACATAATATTTATCATATCCCTTCTTAAAGGCATGGATAAAGGGCTTATCCTCTGTGTGCTGCTGGTGACTCTGTCATGGAAGTTTTTGGGTACCTACGCTATGACCAACACAACAACCAATTCGACAAGTTCAAGCAATTCTTCAACAACAGCAACTAGCAACATGACAGTGACAGGAAACATGACAAATCACAGCAATATGACCACAATGTCTCCTGGCAACATGACAACAATGACAGGAAACATGACAAGTCATGGCAATACTTCGGCAACACCAACTGGCAACATGACAGCGGCAGGAAACATGACAAATCACGGCAATATGACCACAATGCCACCTGGCAACATGACGACAATGACCGGAAACATGACAAATCCTGGCAATACTTCGACAACACCAACCGGCAACATGAACAACACCCAAGCTGAAAATACAACCGTATCAACACAAGCTCCGCCTTTAGTAACAAACACCTCAGTGGCACCTCTTCAGGTAAGTGAAGGAGCTTTAAAAAAATTAAATAAAATGAGGACCTTTATGAACACTTAAACTTTAAACAATTCTGCCCACTGAGATGGTCTGTGTCCCTTTTGCAGACAGACATTGTTATTACGGAGTGTGGAGCAACGCAGCTGTGTGCAGCTGAGCCCGCAAGTCCAAATATTTTAGTCACAAACCAATGAATAGAACATTTAAGAAGTCTAGTTTCTTTGTGCACTTTCAAATCATAAGAAGCAAGAGGCCTGTGGCCAGATTTCTTTTTGCATCTTGCGAACAATTTTAGGCATAATATTGTTCGGACAGCCGGTCATTTCAAATATGTTGTAATTGAAAACAGGATGAAAATGTTTGATCTTAACATTTTTAAGACCCTTTTTACATTTATTGTTAGACTTATTAGTTTATATAATATTCAGGAATTTTACTAGTTAACTATGTCTTTGTCCAGTGCTGAAGAATGTTATAAAGGCACAGTAGATGATGTGTTGCTGAGAAGGTAGTAAGCAAAGGTGGCTTGTTATATTAAAAAATTAATGGTAAGAAAAAGGCTTTTGCTGCAACTCATGTTTTTTTGTGAGTTTTGCATGCTTACACAGTAAATATTTAGTCTCCAAATCAGAATGACTGTTTATTTAAAATGATATGGACATTTTAACATTTAGATGTATTAATGAGGAGTTTAATTTTAAAGAGCTAACTTGCCTGTTTTGAAACATTTTTAAAAATGTCCATAGAGCAAATGGGTGCTGTATTGGATGGCTTCTTTTCTCTTGGCACTCGATGCTTAATAGAAAAGTTTGGTTAGCCCTGCTTTTTTTGATTATCAGGACGTAATGAAAACTTCCCTTTCTGGTTTTATCAGTTTCGTTTTCACACCCTTGAAGCCAACAATATACAACCATTGTGGTTCTCTTACGTGCGATCATTGAAGCGGAAAGCTTCTTTCGGGTTCATTGCACTCAGACAATGGTGACGTTTTATGAGAACTACTGTATCTGGTGAAAATTCAGAGGATGTTTTCTGAAGCCTCATGCTGGTCATGTGCATAGCCCTTTTGACAGAAAGTTGGATCTTACCAGGGAGTTCACCTTCGACTCAGTGGTTCTGAGTGCATGTAACTGCTAAACTACCCACATAAATGTATCAAAGGGCTAATCGGTGTCAAAATGTTCAGCATGAATTTTAATCATGAGCACCTGATTTGATACAGTAATAACAGAAATTTGAAAACACTATTTTCCTCTGTTTCTCTTTTGAACTATATTATTTTTTTAATGTCTTGTTTATAACTAAAAATGAACATCCATCTGTGTGAATGTGTCCAAAAAACTGATTTATAAGGTTTACTAATTCCTCCTTTTTGTCTGGTAATTTCTTTATCCTGTATCATGGTTTTTAAGATTCAAGATCTATAATATCTGTCCTCACACTTTCAGGGAACTATTACTCGGAATGATTGTGGTACCGGAAAGCTGTGCGCGGATAGACCCACAGATTGTGATCCATCTACAGGAGACAATTGTTTTTTCCTTTCGGCCAAGGAACGAAGCAGCCAAACCTTTGATTTTGAACTCTCAGGACAGTCTGACGGCTACATTGCTGCTGGCCTCTCAACAGCTGAAAATCAGGTATTGCATGTTTTATTTTATGGCTCTAGAAGAAAGTACCTCTTAATTTAAAAACATGAAATTAATACTGTCTTGTCATCATCCAAAGGCTGGCTCTCACAGAGCCTATATTTGTGCAAACAACAATGGTTCTGTCCGTTTCTTCACTGCCACCATTGATAACTTTGAACTAAATACAACAGCGGTGAGTTATGTATTCATATAGATGGTGTGTTTCTGTTTGTGTGTGTGGTGGTCGGGGGTACATTGTCAGTTTGTATAAACCAAGTTTTGTATGGAGATCATGGCTAAACAGGCAGCTAATCAAGTGTTTTCTTTTCAGTCACTGGACTCAAGCAATGAGCGAGGCTCATTCGCCAGTGGTAAAATCCAGTGTACTTTTACCGCTGAGCTACCAGACACAAGTGCACGAGCAGAAGCATCTTACTCTTTGTCGGTTTCAACTGGATCCTTCAACGCTAGTAAGCATTCACTTTAAGCATTCATCAACTGTTGCCTAGACTCAAATAATATTTTGCATTTTTTTTTATTCATATAAATGTATTGATATTTTGATGTTCTCTCAGGTTCTTTGGCATTTGGAAGAGCAACCTTTGCCATACTGACATCTCGGGTAAACCTGTCGGACCCCAGCGCCAACATCACCAATTTGCTCACCACCAACACTACTAACGCCTCTGCTCATCCTGTGACAGCCACACTGTCATTCTTGCCAGGTAAGCTTAAAACATTTCTTAGTGGTTTTTCTCAAAAGATGCAGGATCTTAAGAAAGAAATGTCAACAAAAAGTAATTTATCTTCTCTTCTCTGTTTTACAGCTCTGATGGTTACCATTTGTATGCTGGCTTTCACAGCAATGTGAAGAATCAATGTTAGATGATAGAATGTCAGATTTTCTAATGACTTTTGATTTAAAACACAATAGACATATCTTTTACATCTAAGCTACAATTTAATTTGATTACTTAATCATAGCATAAATGTAAGAATACTTTAATGCGTGCAACACTGAAGTACAATTTATTACCATGTACCGTTAAACTTGCTGGTGAGTTGACCGAAACGGGGTGGTGGTTTTTGTGAGAGGCTTAAGGTTTCAAGGATTTTTGACCCTCTAAAGTCTTGTTACTGGTTTGTTTTAAAATATTTTATTTCCTGGTCATATCATAATTGAAAATGATGTCATCAAAATATTCTTTGTTAAAATGTAACAATTTGAAGGCACTTAAATTATGAAACTTTCACTGGCCAATGTTATATGCAGACAAGGTGCAAATGGGATGAAAAAATGCTACATGTGATACAAGTATTGTTAAATGAGTAGTTTAGACTTTTTGCACTGGTTATCTGTTATTTTTTTAAGATCTGTTGTTTCTTTGCCAAAAATAAATTTTTATTCAAAAGGTTGAGTTTTTATTTCTTATTTAGTGTCTCTAAATACACTTTTTCATTAAATATAACATATTTGCTTCTTTTATTTCCATATAGTATTAAATATGTTCCTTAAAGAAAATGACCTAGACTAAGGTCTTCCCATTAAGCTTCCTGCTGACTCTTGGTCATTAATTAATTCATACCACCTCTCAATGTGTTTCCAATATTCTTGAAGTAAGTGGCTTTTCTTAGTATGGGCCATAAGGACATTTTTCTCATTTATTAATTAGTCGATGATGTATGCAGTGTGTGTCCATTCAAAGAGGTATCAGTTTAACTCTTTGTTTCTGTGAAGATTCTCTGTCATCCAGGCCATGGTCAAGCTTGAAATGTTCAGTTTAGGCAACTAGACTTTAGGTTTTCCTGATGGCCAAATGCAAGAGGCTTCCACAGTTCTAACTGATGGTATAGAACATTGATATCAATGCACTGTAGGGGTAACAAAGAGTAAGGGGATAAAAACGTGGCTCTGATCCCTCCTACTTGATCGGCCATGAAGGTCACCCAGGGGGTGTTAATGGTTGTTAGGGTTCTGATGGGTTAATAACTCCCTCATGTGTCAGGTGAGGGCAGGTGATAGATGACATATTTGTTTAAATAAAAAGACCAAGGATACAGTATCAACATGTTTACAGACCACATCAACGCAATGGACAGAAAACTTCAAGTTCACCTGGAAAGATATAAAAGATGACAGTCTTGCCTTCCTGCACAGAGCTGTAAAATGGGGAGACCAAGCAACCAATACAAAGGGCATAGCTCAACACAGGAGGGCCAACTCCTTGGGACTGGACTCAGCTGTTAAACTACACCTGAAGTCTAAAAGACACTCGTTGAGGACAATAAGGTCCATATTCTGGCCACGGAAGAACAATGATTTGAAAGAGGGGTTAAGGAAGCCATTTTTGTTAACCTGGTAAAAACATCTCTTGACAAAGGAGGTGGTCTTAGACATAACCTGTCACCTACTTACAAAGCAAATGAACATTAACCAGAAGATTCGCCTCTCACCTGCCCTCACCTGACTCATGCTTCAATGAGGCATGTGACTGAAACCACTCCGACAAAGGAGTTAATGGCCTATTAGAACCCCCCTAATAGCCATTAACATCTGCAGTTGACATATTTGGCCAATCAAGTAGCTGGACTCAAAGCCACCTTTATTTTTTTATTTTTCTCTAATTCTTTGTTCCACCCAAGGGCGCCATATGGGGGGCAAAAGCTATGATGATTCTAAGGGCCCTTGACTGAGGGGGGTCCTAAAGAAGAAGAACATTTTTGTAATATAAAAATAAAATTGACCAGTAAAATAAATAACGGAATAGTTATTAGAGGGTTAGCATCAGCTAAACGCTAGTACTGTAGATGTTGAGCAGGATTTCTACATTAAATAATTGTCTTTGTCCCTCATTTATCATGTAAACAAAAGATCCACCAGATCCACGCAAGAGTGGGAGGCTACCAGAAATGAGAGGATAACTCGGCAAGAAAACAAAAAACAAGACATAGAGTAGAGCTGGCCTGGTCAAGATTTTTGTTTATGGTAAACTGTGTAAAAATGGTTGGACAAAATGGCAAATAATGAGTTGGAAAGAAGACACTCTGTAGCTTGAATTACAGTGATGTTAGTTTTCATATCGTGAACAATAACACTTGTAAATATATGAGGGGTGTAAAATAAAAACACATATACTTCAAATTAATTCTGCAGTTAGGCAGCTTAGTAAGCGGACTTAAGGGGAACCCAGGGGATAAACAAAAATAAATTTCATATAAAACATTAATGAAAAGTAAGCTTAAAAAGGAGGCAGAAGTCAATATATATCCACTATGGGAAGTAGAACTTTTCAGTGTTTATTCTCCCATAGATTTATTTCTTTTTTTTTTTCTGTTAACCCTAACCATTTTAAATGGAAACTTATATTGCAAGCAACAGCTGTTTCATAGACCAAATCATTACAACAATTGGTGAAAACAGAAAGTGAAAAACAATTATTTCTGTAAACTCTGTTCAACTAGACCTGTCATTGTGAAGTGTATTTAGGGACAGGAATGTGATGGCTGTGTAGAGGGAGTGTTTCCACAGTGTGTGATCAATGGAAGAATTATGACTTCCACAGCTAAGTGGAACTGAGCACAATACGTTGATGCAAATGTTCCACCATTTTATTTCCTTTTTGTCATAAGTGAGTTATACCAACAAATCAACCATCGATTAAACATAATTCATCTTTAGAAATTGGAGAAGTAATATTTGTGGCTTCTTGCATTTGAAGTGGATCTAAGATGTATCCGCAATGCTTCTTTTTTTACACACTTTAATTTAACACGTGTTTCCTCGTAAAAAAAAAAAAAAATGCTTCCTAATGGCTGTTAAAAAACACAATTCTTTTTAGTTAAAAGTAACAGATACTCTTCTCACTAATCCAGTGAAAATTAATGATTAATGGCAATGATGATTGCAACTTTTGAGCAACTGTTGAGTGTTTCCATTATATTTAGACAATTTATCTTTAGTGTTGAAGTCCAAAGCCTCCTTGACATCACCCTAATTTTTAGCTTAGTTTAAGCAAATTCTTAGCATTCACTGAGCTCCACCTGCATAAATGCATATTTTATAACTTTGTCATTTCAGTTAATTGTTCACCTCCCATCAGTTTATACAACCAGCAGTTACAAACAACACTGCCCTGAGTCATTGCGAATCAAAAAGCAGCTGGCTTAGAGTTTTACTGTGTTTTTCCTGGTGTCCAACAAACAATTTTTCCACTGTAACTATGGTCGGTTATTCTGCTAGAAAAGGTGCATTGTCCCCACTCTAATAATGAATCAGCTTTTCTGTCTGTCGTTTTGTTGTAGGATTAGATTGGGGGACATGAGTCACAGCTGATGATGCTAAGCAACACTGACATTTAAAGCCAAAGTAATCAAGATAGATTTTTGAAAATAGAGTTGCTGAAAAATGAAACCCCTGGGATGTTTTTTTTTTTTTTTCTTCTAAACTTTTACAGTATGCTGGAAAGTAAGTTCAATCTATGGTGTGTTGCTCCAATGTGACTTTACAAACCTACATCTCTCTGTTTGCCATCTATTGCTGGGAAGGAGATGATTGCAAATTGCAGCTCAACTGGGCAGAAATGTTGATTTATGTGTGGAAAAACATTGAAGTTGAAGATAAATCAAATGATTCATAAACAATGCCTGATAAAAAGCAAGTTATTTGGACACCTTTTCATATAGTTTATCTTTAATCCTTTAAATGATAGTTATCACCACAACAGCACAATACCAGATTCATAATAATAAAGCAGTCATTATGTGAGTAGTTAGTTACGTGTGTCCAAAACAGAACAAAGTGTCCTTTCTGGGCGCGCCACAAGCCTGCCACAGGTGCATGGGGAGGTTAATAAAGTTGACCGTTACAGGAATGACTAGTGTGTTGCATAAACTGGGGCAAGTCAGTGAACACCCAGAGACTAAGGGTGAGGCTCAGGGACAAAGTAACAACCTGGTTTTACTAGTCTTTCCTGCTGGTTTCTTAACAAGAGGCATAGACTGGGCGATGTGTTTATCCAGTTATACAGTAAACATGTTTTAAAAAACAATAATTATGATAATCACTATGGAGTTTATTTTGTTAGTTGTTGTATTTATTAGTCAAATGCCAATTAACAGTCAAATACCATCATCTAGTTTGTCCATTTTACCAAACTGTCCAACAATAAGAAAAAGAGACACTGAGCAACTTTTATTTCAATCTACATATATGAGCCAAGTTAAAAATTTGATTAGCCAAATTAAGTAACAGACATATAATAATAATTCATATTCTGTTGATTTTGGCGCACTTGCTTGATTTTATCCAAATTTGTGTTTTATTACACAATGAGGACTTCTTAAGTAACTGTTGAGCACAGATGGAAAAACACATCAAAAGTTACACTGATGAAGTAGGTTGTTACTTAATAGGAGGGAAAGCATGTGATAAAGAGTGCATTAAAAAATCTGATTTGAATGAAGTTTGAACAATGCCTTCTGCCCAGTGGATTCAATACTGTTTTATGTGACAGATCAGCAAAAAGGAAAACAATACTCTGAGGCATAACAAAAGGGGGAACAAATAGTATTTTCAGACAAAATTCTAGAAAAGCCATCAGTCAGCCACATTTTACTCTCACTATCACTGCCAATCAAGGGAGGGTCATTGTGTTAAGTAACTGGGCTGGTGTGCTAAGAGTGATGAGTACCTATGGCATGTTAACAGGAAGATTTAGTTTTAGTCACCTGACTACCGCGGCTTTCACATTGTGCAGGTTCATCTACATGGTCTCATATTTTAGAGTGTGAATTTTACATCAAATGCAACTATGTGGTTTGAATACTTTTGCATAAAGATTGTGAAAATAAATAAAACACCCTTCATTGAAGTGGAATCAACAAATTTAACAAAAAATATATAACAAATCACTATTTCCTCTTTGGATTTGGATTTTGTAATTGATCTGATGAACATCAGGCCTGTGTTGCCCCTGGGCTTTATTGGTAACTGGAGTGTAGCATAACACATCATAAACACAAGAGGGTGCTGTTAGCTTTTCACAAAGTAGGATCTAACCAAGCCAATGTGTTTTGTTGAAGGAGTTTAACAACAAAGTCTTATTTTAGTATTAGTAAGACGGATAGAAAAGGTAAAATGTTTTTATGTAATGTAAGAAACAACACAGCATGTTTTGTGTTGCAATACAATGAAATTTAAGATAAAGTTGTTAATTATAACCTTAATAACAGCTTAGATGATTGTTCCCTTTTTGTCTGGAATTGGCCGTGGATTACCCTGAGAGCTCAGATTAACCAATCTAGCATGTCAACACTTGTTTTTTCTGATGCTGTAAGAAGGCAGGTCAGTAACTATAAGCGTTATATAAAGTTTATTAGTCAAACGGGGAGTGGCAAGAAGTAGAGAAAT